TCCAATATTGTACATCTGAAATAACCATGAATTTGTAGCCATAATGTTTCCAATATTTAACAACCTTTAATTTCCTTCAACTTCTGACTTGTCAGAAATACTCAGATTCTACAGATAATGGTTAAAATATAATAGGAAAACACTTTTTCTTTTCTGTCTTCTTTCCCTGACTTGTGCTTTACTTCATTGAGGATGTTTCCTGGATTTAGTATGTCAAAATGTAGTTTTGGGGTCCCAAAGTTTTTGAGATATCTCGTTGACAGTACAGAGCTGTAGCAACCAGGTCCTATATCCAGTAATCATCAAAACCCCTGCCTATTTTAAGAGATTAATTTTTAAGTTTCTGTTTTGTTTTTTAGTAAATTAGCAAATACCTTCTAAATATTCCAATAAAATACTATTAGTTAAAGAGAGGGCTTAATACAAGCGAGTTATGTACTTCTCACGAAGCAGTGGTTCTCCATGTTGGCTGCCCATCACAATCATTCTAAGAGTCTCTAGACTCCCACTTCCCAGTCCTCAACTCAGTCTACTGAGAGCAGTGACTAGGGCTAGAGCTCAGCCATCACTAGTGTTGAAAGATGCCCAGGTGATTCCAGTATGCAGATGCAGTTAGAATCTCTCTTTAGGGTCCTTAGTTTGTTTGAAATATCACAATAACCCAGGTGTTAGAGGACCATCACCTAACTTAATGGGTTTTTGGATAGCAAAATGTGGTAGAGATAGCCTTGCAGTGTAAGCCAGGATTGAGCTGGAAGCCTGCCTCACCAGTTACATTAACTTGGAAACACATTTTACTCTGGTCTGAAATTTTATCCCAGTTTTACCATTAGTTTTCAACACTTAATTATAACATTCTCTATATCATATCAAGAAGCAAAAAAATAAAAAAAAAAGAAAAAAGTTGATAGCTTCAAAATTTCAATCCAGTAGTTTTGGTTCAAGGAACCATGTGATGGAGAGAACTTTAGTTTGATATTCAGTTAATGACTCATGCTTGAGAAAATTCAGCTTTTAGGAATTCGAAATTCAGTGGGTTGATGTTTATATTTCCATTATCTAAGAAGTAAGAGATTTCTGAGCAAATCAGTAGCATAACCCTTGTTAATGTGTCCTGAATGTGGCAAGCCTATGGAGAAAATAGAAGCCATTTTGAGAACTTTGTTAAATTAATGTTCATCAATTAATGTTAAAGGCACAGGATAGTGCCTAAAGAATAGGATGGAGTACAGCCCAAACCCTTGTAGGCCACATTGGATGTGAGTTCACTGAACTCTGTAAAAATCAATATTTGAAAATAGAATTTACTTTTATAAGACTTTAAAATAAATTTGTAAACACCTCACTATCAACTTACACAATTAAATACACACAGGCACATAAACATCTTACATTGATGATCTGTGAATTTTTTTAGCAGTATCCTGGCAGGATTTTTTCCTAGCAGAAGCTTGACAGGATTCACATAGTTCCAACTCAGTGGACAGCTGGTAACAAAAAAATAAGGAAAAGCAACCCAGGACATCTCTCTCTCTCTCTCTCTCTCTCTCTCACACACACACACACACACACACACACACACACTGATGCTGACTATCACAGCCTCTTCATTCCTCAATTTTATCTGTCTAGAATATGGGTGGCAGGCCTGGATCAAGTCCAAGGTTCTTTTGACTTTAAAATTCTGTTATTCAAATAAAAAACTGGCATTCAGCACACTAGTGCCTCCTTCAGCTAAACTAAAAACACATGGGACTGCAAAGAGAATAACCTATTGTGAAAAGACATAACATAAATCCTCAAAAGTATTTATTTCTGTGACCCAGTATGAAAGGAGATTGCAATTTTCCATTTGTTTACATTCTCTAAAAGAGTATAAAAAAAGACACCAACCACAGTCCCTGACCTAGTTTAGAATAACATGTGAACACATCCCAAATGCACAAGCACAAGTTTGTTGCTAGCTGTACTGTCCAGGTTAAAAATACTCCGCATTGGGTGTTATCCAGGCCGTGTGGTAAGAGTGCTGCTGAAACCAAACTCTCTCTTCCCATTAAGTAGCAAGATTAAAATGCAAGCTGTTTGAAAACACATTTATAAAGTGCCATTAACAAAAAAAAATATTGATTGATTTTAAAGAGACAGGAAAGGAGAGGGAGAGTGGGGCTGAGGAGGGGGAGAGAGAGAGACATTAATTTGTTTCCACTTACTTATGCATTCATTGGCTGACTCTTGTCCTGTGCCCTGTACATGCCCTCACCAGGGATTGGACATGCAACCAAGGCATATTAGGACGACATTCTAACCAAGTGAGCTATTTGGCTGGCCAGATCCTGAAGTGACTTTTTTTAAAAAAACTTAATGGGAAAAAAAGAATGTCATGTAAAGGATTTACCTTCCTTTCAGAAAGAAATATTGGAGTTCAATATACCAACTGTAAAAAGGATATCAAGCCAAAAACAAGTACTCCTGAAGTTGAAATGTTGATTAGAAAAACATGGACAATGGGGCGGGGATTGACTGTGGAAGTGGGGGGAAGGGCTGGGAGGAGCAAAGGTGGAAAAATTAGGACAGCTGCGATAGCATAAACAATTAAAAAATAATTTTCCTCTAAAAAAGAAATAATGCTCTACTAAATAGTTTTGAAGGTTCACTTTTGTGTTCTCTGATTATTAAGACAGATTCTTAAATGATAAACCAGTGCAAGATGTGTGAATATTTGCTTTATTAAAAAGTTTAAAAATATGAAAAAGTTTTACAAATAAAATAAAAAGTACCTTATCGTGGGGAAAAAAAAGAAAAAAAAAGGGAATACCAACTTAAATTGAATCAAACTCCAAATAAAAAGAATAACTTGCTGTGATTTGAAAGGACCTCAGGTTAGACTACCATGTTCAAGTTCATGTGGTAGTTTAAACAAGCAGGAAAATGTAACCACTTCCACACTCATTTAAATTTCTTCAAGAGAGACTCAGTCTAGAGTAACAAAATATTTTCAAGGAAATGAATCATGAGATTCATTCATTCATATAACCAATAGTTTAGCCCCTTCTATGCTATGTGCCAGGCCGTAAGACATGGAAACATGAAGATGAAAGAGCAAGCCCTCTTTAAAAGGTTTAGAGTATGATTTTTTTAAAAAAAATGTGAACAGTGACTAATATATTTGCTAACTTCTCCTAAGAACTAATTTTCCTTTATATCCTTCACATCTAGGTTTCTGCACAGCAAGTAACAGGCACTTGGGGAATCACATGTTTGTGGAATAAATGAGTGGTCTAATCTGAGCCTCATAAGAACCCTGTGAAATAATTAGGGTGAATATTCTTATTTCCAATTTATAGATGAGGATATTAAGATGCAGAGATTAAGTAATTACCCATAACTAAACTGCTAATAAGTGGCAAAATCCAGCTGAGAGTCCAAATTCTCTGCCTCTCATCTCAGGCTTGCCCCATTGTTGCCTCTCAGTTTCCAAACCTGCTTTAATAAATGTGTAAGACTCATTTGTAATGAGGGCACTATCCTGTGCCTTTTGTAGAAGGAAGATCTTTACCAAGAACATCCATTTTTTTCTTTTTTCAGACACAAATCTATCTATATATAGTTATATAATTTTTCAATTTTTAATATTTTTATTGTTCAAATACATTTGTCTCCACCTTCCCGCCACCAGTTTTCCCTGCCCCTTTCCCCCACCTCACTCCCTCAATCCTTTCCCACTTTGGATTTGTCTATGGGTCTTTTATACATGTTCCTTGACTTGACCCTTCCCTTCCCTTTCCCTGCCCCCACTTCTCTCTTGCTTCTGTTGATTTCTTTTTTCTTTCAATGTGGCTAGTTATATTTTCCTTGCTTGTTCATTTTGTTGGTTAGGTTTCACTTATAGGTGAGATCATATGGTATTTGTCTTTCACCCTCTGTCTTATTTCACTTAGCATAATGCTCTCTAGTTCATCCATGCTGTCGCAAAGGGTAGTAGCTCTTTCTTCCTTTCCTCTGCGTAGTATTCCATTGTGTAAATGTACCAAAGTTTTTTGATCCACTCATTTACTGATGGGCACTTAGGCTGCTTCCAACACCTGGCTATTGTAAATTGTGTTGCTGTGAACATTGGGGTGCATAGGTTCTTTGGAATTGGTGTTTTGGGATTCTTAGGGTATAATCCCAGCAGTGGAATTGCTTGGTCAAAAGACATTTCCATTTTTAGATTTCAGAGGAAATTCCACACTGTTTTCCATAGTGGCTGCACCAGTCTGAAGTCCCACCAACAGTGTATTAGCGTTCCCTTTTCTCCATAGCCTCACCAGCACTCCTTGTTTGTTGATCTGTTTATAATGGCCATTCTGGCCAGTGTGTGAAGTGGTATCTCGTTGTGGTTTAATTTGTATTTCTCTGATGGCTAGTGATGCTGAGCATCCTTTCACAGGTCTCTGGGCCTCTAAAAAAATAAAACTAAATAAATAAAAAATACCAAAACTCATGAATTTTTGTATAGCCATTTCAATATTGAAGATGGAAGAAAATATTTAACATTTTAGGCATGTTATGCTTTATTATTTCAAGAAAGGTAAAAATACAGCTGAAATGCAAAAAAAAAAAAAAAGATTTGTGCAGTGTATGGAGAAGGGGTTGTGAATGATCGAATGTGTCAGAAGTGGTTTGCAAAGTTTCATGCTAGAGATATCCCTCTGGACGATGCTCCACGGTCAGGTAGACCACTTGAAGTTGATAGTGATTGAATCGAGACATGAACCGAGAACAATAAACGTTACACCATGCAGGAGATAGCCAACATAATCAAAATATCCAAATCAGTAAAGTTACTGGTGAAAAAAAAAAGAAAAAGAAAGAAAGTCCTTCTCTGAGTTCAGTTTCCTGGGATCTCCAGGTAGATTGAGTTCCCAAACCATTGTGGAACAAAAATGGGGAAGAAAAAAATAACTCAAGAGTATCAAATTTGCAATGACTACTTCATACTTTTCACTGTACTTTTTCAGAGTGCAAATTCACCTGCACCAGCGGTAAATGCTTGTATCTTGGTTCACTGGTCTGTAACCAACAGAATGACTGCGGGGACAACAGTGATGAAGAAAACTGTCTCCTGGTGACTGAACATCCACCTCCAGGCATCTTCAACTGTAAGTCCCTTCTATGCACCTTGGCATCACTAAGTTTGATTGTTTTTGAAATGGTTAGGAAGTAATGTCATGTGGAAATGGGAAGGATATTTTTTGGTTTTTTTCTGAGAAGAAAAGAGATTTGCATGTTTACAAAGGGAATTTTTTCTTCTTTTAGGATAGAAAGACGGTGTCTTTAAAAGTTGGAAATGTATTCTCTTTACAGAGATGGCCAGTGGCACTCACTGTGTTTTGGAATAAATAGGCTTTTCCTACGTATCTTAATAGCACTGACTGGGTTCCAAGAAAAAATATATTGATTTAGTATTCTCCCCATCAATTCTGTAGAATTTTTAAGAGTAATTTTAAACATTTTTAAAATAATTTTAAATAAGCAAAGAACGATATGTGGAGAGTCCATAATTAATCATGTAATTAAAATAATAAAATAGAAAAATTTACATTGGGCTTTTAAAAAAGGTTCTGATTGTGTGTTTTTCTATTCAGTACTGGATGGGAACAACTTAAGTGAGGTGTTTATGTATGTGAATTTCAAGTTAAGGCTTTGAGCATTTCTTGAACTTAAGGTGAAATCAGAGTTTGAAGTTCATTGATTTTTGATCTTATGATTTTTATGAGAAGGAAGAAAAGAAAAGACATTTTTGAAACACTGTTGAACTTTTCTTAGGAGAAATGACTTATTGTTTCCTTGGGCTGAGTGAAGTGGGTTGAGGGTTTTTTGTGGTAGTTGGCCCTGGAGGAATGTTTACAGCACTGACACCCTGAGGTCTGGGGTCTTCTTATCGAGATAACTTCATGAAACATTCATCTTATCTCCAGTTTTACTGACATTATTTTGAGGAGTTATATTTGTTTTTATTTACAGCTCTTAAATTTTTGTTATGAAAAATATACTATATAAGTGTTGATACTGTAATGTAAAGTGGGAAGAGATTTTTAAAAAGAAACAATTTTCTCTATTCCTACTATATTTTTATATTGGGCGAAAGCTCAGAAAATGACTGTGTCTACTAAATTTTAAGCCTGCTATTTATGCTTGCTAAATTCAAAAGTCTAATAGTGCAACAGTTTTCCTGAAATTTTTCTGATTTTTTAAGTGTGTTCTTAAGAGTCCCATCTCTATACTTTCAGAAGACAGTTTAAAGTTAGGCACGCGCTTTCTTGCTCTTTGGTTCATGTGTTTCCTCTGGTGGTGTTTGTGCAATAGCCTTTGCAGTCCTCAACACCATAATTGGCATAATGCAGCTTTCCTGGATACAGAGAATGGGTCTCCAGAGTGACTGATTATCCTGCCTGCTTCAAGCCAGAATGCTGGGATCCTGGCCCTGGCACTTACCTAACAGTCAGGCAGCTAGCTCTGTGGCCTTATCTGCGCAGTGTGTCATGAAAATGGATATTGTGAGGATTAGGTGGGATGGTCCACATAAAGCAATTAGAACAGAATTTTGCTAGTACTATGCTCTTGACATAGGCCAGCTAGACTCAAGCCACGGGTGTTAGAAGGAAAAGAACAATGTAAAGGCATTTTCTTGTTTTATTTTCTCTAGACTTGAGTAACAGCAAATACATACATGATAAAATATGAAGAGACTATTAGGACTGTGTGTGGTACCTTGACTAGATTTGAAAGGTCTGTGTAAAAAGCAGGCAGTGCTTGGGTCACTTCACAGACTGTTTCTCTGAATCTTGAAGGTGCTTCTCCTTTAATTCAAAGTCTTTACACTGCAGTTCTATTGTATCAGACCCCTTCCCTTCCCTTTCCCTCCCTTCCACCCTTTCCCATCAGTATTCTTTCATGGTTTTAAAAAATATATTTCCAGATATCTTTTTTATATATTTTTATATATGTGAATATTTAATTTTGCTTAGGAGCCAGTGGAGTACTTATATCTATAAATGATTCAACATTCCCCAGGCAGCTATAAGAATTTGCCTTAACAGAGGAATCTGAAGATCCTGTTGGCAAACTACTGGTCCCTTTTAAAACTTGTTGTATCCTTATGGCTAAAGTGGAAGACTATTTACAATGCACTCTCTTTTCAGAAGACTAGAGAGCTAGGAGAAAGAATGACAAAGGCAAGACCATGGCTGTGCGTTCAGTTCAAGATTCAACTTAAAGAAGTGATTGAACCCCATTAAGGCTTAGTTTCTCTATCTCTAATGTGTAGAACACACTTAGAATAAGCCTACATAATCACATCATCCCTAGTGGGAAAGCTTTCAGTTTTTGCCCATTGAGTATGATATTGGCTGTAGGTTTTTCATATATGGCCTTTATTGCATTGAGGATGCCCCATTTAATCCCATTTTGCTGAGTGTTTTCATCATAAATGGGTGCTGTACCTTTTTTTTTTTCATGGAAACAAAATTAAAAGTAAATTTCTTTTATTTTTTTAATTTATATTAATTTACTTTTTCAAATACATTTGTCTCTGCCTCCCCCCACCACATTCCCTTGCCCCCTCCCTTCTTCCCTCCGTCAGCTCTTCCCCTTTGGTTTTGTCCATGAGTCCTTGCTATATGTTCCTTGAATTTTCCCTTCCCTCCCTTTAACCTGCCCCCCCTCCCTCCTTCCCTCTTGTCTCTGTTGATTTCTTTTCCTTTCAGTGTTGCTGGTCTTATTTTCCTTGCATCTTTGTATTGTTGGTTAGGTTCCACTTATAGGTGAGATCATATGGTATTTGTCTTTCGCCCCCTGGCTTATTTCGCTTAGCATAATGCTCTCGAGTTCCATCCATGCTGTCGCGAAGTTTAGTAGTTCTTATCGAATGCTTTTTCTGCATCTATTGAGATGATCATGTCGTTTTTGTCTTTTCTTTTATTTATGTGATGTATTATGTTTATTGACTTGCGCATATTGAACCATCCCTGCATCCCTGGGATGAATTCCACTTGATCATGGTGGATAATCTTTTGAATATATTTCTGGATGCGGTTTGCCAATATTTTGTTGAGGATTTTAGCATCTATGTTCATCAGCAAAATTGGCTTGTAGTTTTCTTTCTTTGTAGGGTCTTTATCTGGTTTTGGGATTAGGGTGATGCTGGCCTCATAGAAAGAGTCTGGGAGTCTTCCCTCCTCTTGGATTTTTTGGAATAGTCTGAGAAGGACAGGGGTTAGCTCTTCCTTAAATGTTTTATAAAATTCTCCTGTGAAACCGTCCGGCCCTGGGCTTTTGTGTGCTGGGAATCTCTTGATGACTGCTTCAATTTCCCCAGCTGTTATCGGTCTGTTCAAGCTTTCTGTTTCTTCCTCCTTCAGTGTTGGAAGATTATACTTTTCTAAAAATTTGTCCATTTCATCAAGATTTTCAAATTTCTTGGCATATAATTGTTCATAGTAGTTTTTGACAATCCTTTGTATTTCTGTGGTATCAGTTGTTATTTCTCCTCTTTCATTTCTGATATTATTAATTTGGGTCCTCTCCCTTTTTTTCTTGATGAGTCTGCTTAAAGGCTTGTCAATTTTATTTATCTTTTCAAAGAACCGCTTCTTGATTGGTTGATCCTTTGAATTGTTCTTTTTGTCTCTATGTCATTCAGTTCTGCTCCAATCTTGACTATTTCCTTCCTTCTACTTGCTCTAGGATTTATTTGTTGTTTCTCCAGTTCTTGAAGTTGTAGTGTTAGGTCTTTTATTTGAAATGTTTCTATCTTTTGTAGGTAAGCCTGTATTGCTATGAACTTCCCTCTCAGGACTGCTTTTGCTGTGTCCCATAGGTTTTGGACTGTTGTCTGTTTCTTTTCATTTGTTTCCAGAAATTTTTTGATTTCTTCTCTTATCTCATTATTGACCCATTCATTATTTAATAGTCTACTGTTCAATCTCCATGAGGTTGCTAGTTTTTGAAGTTTCTCTTTGAGGTTGATTTCCAGTTTCAAACCCTTGTGGTCCAAGAAAAAGTTTGGTATTATTTCAATTTTCCTGAATTTGCTGAGGTTTGCTTTGTGTCCTATCATGTGGTCTAGTTTGAAAAATTGCCATTAGCATTTGAAAAGAATGTGTATTTTTCTTTGGTATGTAAGGTTCTATATATGTCAGTTAAATCTCTTTGATTCAGTGTGTCATTCAGTGCCACGATATGTTTATTAATGTTTTGTTTGGAAAATCTGTCCATTTTTGACAGTGGGGTTTTGAAATCCCCTACTATCAGTGTGTTGCTGTCTATATCTTTTTTGAAGTCATCCAACAATTTCCTTATACACTTGGGGGCTCCTATATTGGCAGCATATAAGTTTACAATGTTGATGTCTTCTTGATAGATTCTTCCTTTAAGTATTATAAAGTGCCCCTCTGGGTCTCTTTTTATGGCCTTTGTTTTGAAATCTACTTTGTCTGATACAAGTATGGCAACCCTGGCCTTTTTCTCTTGCCCATTTGCTTGGAATATTGTTTTCCATCCCTTTACTTTCAATCTGTGTAGGTCTCTTGCTCTGAGGTGGGTCTCTTGTAGGCAGCATATGTGTGGGTGATGTTTTCGTATCCATTCAGCTACCCTGTGTCTTTTGATTGGGGCATTTAGTCCATTCACATTGAGAGATATTACTGATAGAAACTTTCTCATTTTTTCTCTTTGTACCTGTGTTCCTCTCTGTCTCATTCTTTTCCTTCATCTGCTTAAACTAGTCCCCTTAGCATATCTTGGAGTGCCGGTTTGGTAGAGATGTATTCTTTTAGCCTTCTCTTGTCTGGGAAACTCTGTATTTCCCCTTCTATTTTAATGGAGAGCCTTGCTGGGTAGAGCAGCCTTGGTTGTAGGCCCTTGCTTTTCATGACTTGGAATATTTGTTGCCATTCCCTTCTGGCTTGTCGTGTTTTTGTTGAGAAGTCAGCTCCTAGGGGTATAGTGGGCCCCCTTGTATGTTACTTTCTCCTTCTCCCTTGCTGCCTTGAGGATTCTCTCTCTGTCTTTGATAGTTGCCATTTTAATGATGATGTGTCTTGGAGTGGACCTCTTTGAGTCCCTCTTGAGTGGGGTCCTCTCTGCCTCCTGGATGCAT